CCGGTTCTCATTCTCTCTCCAGTTTTACTTACTCTTCTCTCCTTGGGATTGTTGATGCCACTTTGTTCCTTGCTGCCCTGTCGCCCTCATAGTCTTTTCTTCTGTTTGCCCCCCTTGCAGGCTGGAGGGCAGAGTGCTGCGGACAGCTAGCTCGGGGCCCAGCACGGTGCCTGGCCCACGGGGCAGAGAGGTGGCGTCCCCTCGCGCGTGTCTGCCTGGCCCCACGTGCCCTGCTTCCCTTTTCCTGCATGTATGTGTCCGTTTGCTAGATGTGCTTGCAACCATGGCAGTGACGTTTTCAAGGGCAGGCCTGGCTCCTCCACCCTGTACGCCCTGCTCGCCCCAGAGCCGTTCTCCAGCCGGCGGTTTGCGACACTGTCTCTTCAGTGGTGTGTTCTAGGGTGGTGATTAGCCAACGTTCAGCCCTGTGACTGTCACTTCCTCAGTCACTGCCACGGCCAGTCTTGTCTTGGTGAGTGATCCAGGTAGTCATCCTCAAACATCCCGGCCGAGGAAGGAGATCAGGAACCCTGGGATGGGGCCTGGACGTGCCCCACTCCGTCCGGACCGCCCACCTTGCAGGTGCTTGCACCTGGCGGCCCCTCGCTCGCCTCGGAAAGGGGGGGGCTGAGGCACCTGGCAGTTTTGTTTTGTGTTGGTTTTTAGTCATTTTAATTTTACATTTTTATGGGGCAGAAGGGGGTACGATTGGTTCACACCACGGAAACTTGAGCAGGTCCAGCTGGATTCATGGGTTCGAGTGGTGTCCCTGGGGTCCTGCTCACTCTTCACCTCAGCTCTCATTTCTGCCGCCCCCTCCCCCTACTCGGCAGCTCCTGCCCTAGTGGGGACCAGATGGCCACCGGCAGCTGCAGGGGAGGGAGGGGTACCCCACCAGCATTTCTTCCAACTTGAAGCCCTGAGTTTTACTGGTTATGATTGGGCGGGGCCTGCCCTATGGAAGATCTGATTGGCCAGGCCTGGCCACGCCCAGGCTTAGAGCCAGGAGAAGGGGACCTGGAGTTGGACAGGCACCCAGGACAGCCACACAGCACCCCCCCCCCACACACACACACACCCAGGTAGCCCTGGGCAGCCTGGCCCCTCAGCCCAGTGTGGCCGTCCCCTGAGGCTCCCATGATCCTCCTGGGGAGTGACTAGTATGACAAGCTCTGGAAAGCTTTGCGTGGTGGGGGGCCCACAGTGCCCTAGTGAGAGGTCCCTGCGGAGACGTCTCCTGTGACAATAATAAGCGTCCCCCAGTTACCTGGTTGGGGGTTTTCCTATTTGATGCTGGAGTTTCGTAAAGAGAGGGCTTGCCTGCTGCCATGCCCCACAGCATCTGGACAACTGCCTGGCGTGGCTTGTTTGTGGAATGGACGACTGGAGGGAGACAGCAGATCAGAGTTCAGCAGCCTTTCTCCTGCCCCCTCCACACACATCCCCCAGGGCCCACCCTCACCAGCAGCGCCATTCATCTGTGACCCCTTGTGGGGGAACCCAGGAAAAAGCCGCTT